ATTATAAAAGGTTTAGCCTCTTAATATAGGTTATTTTAGCTTATTAAAGCTTTTATATAGTAAGGAAATTAAAAAAAAAATATAAATATAGATTTTATATATTATAAAGAATAACTTTTTTTTTACCTTTAAGGTAGTATTTTTTACTTTAATAAGGGAAGTAAATATATAAGCTAGCTTTAGATAGGCTAGCCTTATACTATTTAACCCTAAAGTAGTTATTTCTTACTTAAATTTTAAGCTAAATATACTAATATATCTTAGCTTACGTCTAACTAGCTTAGGCTTATAGGACCTAAAGACACTAATAACTATACTTAAGGGTATATAAAGTGCTAGTTTACTAAAAAGGAAGATCTAAAGATATTAAGAAAGCTTACTAATACTAATATATAAGGTAATTAACCTCTAAGCTAAAAGTATTAGTAAGTTAGTATATAGGCTTACTTTTATTAAGGCTAAGAACCTTAGACTTTATATAGGGATAAATATACTAAGTAAGCACTAGAGGGCTAAAAAGACCTAACTACGTCTTAGAGGGTTACTTAATATAACTAAAGTAGAGGTACTATAAGGAGAAAAAGAGGGTATTAAAGCTAAAGATAAGAAAATATCCTAAAAGGAGGGTTATATAGAGGGTAGTAAGCTATATATATTAAAAGCGCGTAGGGTATAAGGGACTCTTGCGGTGCGGTGACTATATAGAACACCACAACTACTAAAAGTAACACAAGATTCCTTACTGATTGGTGCACAAATCGTCTTGATCTGTCTAGAATTGACGTCGATCGTGAGTGTTAAACTGTAGGATCAAGGATAATTATGCCCTGATCAGGTAGGCAATTGCTCCTAATCGTCTTGTGTTATCACGATTAAAGGTAAATCATAGAGAGGCTCTAGTTCGATCAGAAGGTAGGTATAAGTATAAAGGATGAATTCTGCGTGTCTATCTCTGAACCTATCGACGCTGGCTTATATCCCCGTACTCGATCGGGATTAGGATCTTCCGATCGAGTACGCATACTACCTCGCTCTGGGCTGATCGCCCTACCCTGCTCTAATATAATAATATAGTAATTATAAAAAGACTAAATATAACGTATAAACCTATAAGGTAGTTTAGGATAGTAATAAAGAATAAGGTAATATATATTTTTAATTAATTCTATATAATCTAGTTAAATTAAATTATATAAAAGGTAGAAAGGTAGAGGGAAGTAGCCTGCCTACTATAATAGCCTGCCTACTATAATAGCCTGCCTACTATATAAGTACGTTAGCTAACTTTTTAGTAGTTATAAGTATATATTAACCTTCTTTTTTAAGTATATAGACTTATAGTAAGAAGAGATAAGGTTAATATATATTTTATAGGGTAAGTCTTTTCTAGAAGCTATACATACTGCTAGGGCTAGCCTTTCTTTCTTTAAGGAAAAAGTAGTAGAAAAGTAACTATTTCTTTTATAAAGGAACTAGCTCTCCTTAGTAGAGGCAGATTTACTAAAGGCTGCTACTAGTTAAGATCTAAGGTGTAATTATTATAAAGTAAAGTAAGAAGGCGTTATTACTATACTTACTTTTTAGGATTAATAAGTATAGTAGTAAGCTTTAGTAATAAGTAAGTAAGTAAATTACTACTACTTACTTAGTTATACTACTATTTATTATAATCTATTAGGAAAAAAAGAAGGTAAAGAAAATAGTAATCTTTTTAGACCTTTAATTAGCTAAAAAGCTTTTATATTATAGGTCTAAATATATAAAAAGTAAAGAAGAAAAAGGTCTATAGAGCTATATATAGCTACTAGCGTGCGCTTTTAAGTAGGCTAGTAATTATATAGGCTTTTCTAGGCCTTATAATTTATATTATAATAATAGTACTTAACTATACTAGCGTCTTATACTAGTTACTAATTTTATTTTTTAGTAATACTAATATATATAGGTCTTATATATTATCTATAAGTAGTACTTAGATAACTATTATATAATTACTACTAGTTATTTTATCCTTTAGTTTACTAGTATAACTATTTAGGTCTCTAGGTATACTTCTTACCTATATTAGTACTAAGTTATTAAGTTTTTTCTTATTTCTTATATTACCTAAAGAGTTATATATTAATTTTAATAATAAGTCTAATATAAAATAAGAAGTCCTTATATAGGTTAATAATCTTAATAAGTTTATTTTTAATATTATTTTTAAGTCCTTAGTAAAAAGTAAAAACTAGTAATTCTTAAGTAATATTAAGTTAAGTAGCTAATTATTAGAATTTAGCTATATAGTAAGAGGCTAACTTAGTTTATTATAAGCTAGCTAGGTCTTACTTAGCTTATTACTTCTTATTAATATTTAAAAATAGTAACTATAAGGCCTTTATAAAGCTAGTTATACTTCTAAAGATATCTAATATCTTATAAAAGTATATAATAAGGTTACTATTATACTTAAGAAATTCTTTTAAGTAAGGCTTATACTAAAAAAGTACTTCTTTTTATAAAAGAGTTTTTATATAAATAACTTATTTAGTCTAACCTCTAAAGTTAGTAGTATAAAGAGTTTAATAAGTATAAACTTAAATTAAAAATTCTTTTAGCTATCTATTAGTTTTATTATAAGTTCTAAGTAAGTTAAGTTTAACCTTATTATATTTATTAACTAAGGTAGTAATATTATTTATAATACCTCTAAGGGTAGTAACTTCTTTATTTAGTTTTTTAGCTTTAGCTATTTTATCCTTTAGTTAAGTAATAGTATTATAAATTATACTTTATAGCTAGCTAATCTTAAGGTTTTTATTATTTAGCTTTATACTAATATTATTAATTATAGCTTATATATAAGCTATATTACTATTATTTTACTTTATATGTTACTAGATCTTATTATATATACCTTAAGTAAAGTTTACTTTATTATTAGATATCTTGATATCTTTTATTATCTTATTTAGGCTTTTAACTAAAGTAGTTAAGTCTTTTTTAGAGCTAAAAGAAGTTAAAGCTATTTTAGGTATAAATATTATAAAATACTATTAAGTAAGTATTAAGGTTAACTTACTTAATAAAAGTAATTAAAGTGTTATAGCTAGTTTCTAAATAGTAAGGTTTTTACTAATAGTAAGTAGAGGTTAGTACTTAGTTAGTAGTATTTATTTTTCTTATTATTTTACTAACTACTTAATAATTAGTTAAAGCTAAGGTTATAAGGTAGCTTATATAACTTCTTATTAATTAAATTACTAAGGTTAGATACTAAAAGGTATTTAGAGAATATATTATAAGTTAATTACTAAAGAGCTATAGCAGTCTATCCTTAAGTACGTCTAAGTATATCCTATATATAAGTCCTAACTATTCCTTAAATAGTTTTTTTAACTAATAGTTATAAAGTAAAATAAGCACTTACTTAAGTTTTTACTAAGCACTTATCCTACTTATAAATAAGCACTTATCCTTTATCTTGTTCTATGCTTATAATTCTATAACTTATACTATAGTTCTTTTGTTTTAAGGAGTTATCTATCTGTTCCCTATTTCTTATCTATATAAATCTTACTACTGCCTACTATCTGTCTGTTAGGTAGGGCAATATAGCCTATAACTTATTAGGTTATAACATAAGGTTAGGGTAGAATAGTATTTTCTAAAGTATCTTTATTATAATATAACTCTTATTAAAGCGTATTATTAGAAACTAGACCTTTTTTAGGCTTAATTTTAATTTTTTAAAAATAAGTAATAAGTAGTCTTTAAGGTGTAATAAGGAAGTAGTTTACTTACTATAATTATTTACTTACTATATAGGTACGTTATAAGTATAAGTATAAATTAAAATAAGATATAAGTCTAAATAAATACCTATATTTATAGTAGTAAGAATAAAGCAGTATTATTTATAATAGTAAAAGTAGCTATATTTACTAAATATTATTGACTTAAAGTACTTAATATAAGTTATTAAGATAACTATTATCTTTTTAAAATTATAAAGTATTATTAAAATATAAGTAAATAAGTAATAGTATTAAGATATACTAAGATATATATATAAGTACATAAGTAATATTATTAACATATATTAATATATATATATAAGTAAATATATTAATATATTAGTAACTAACTTACTATATTAGTAAGTATCTTACTATATTAGTAACTATCTTACTATATTACTAAGTCTACTAGAATTTATATAAGTATATTCTTTATTTAAGATAGTAATCTAATTAATTTCTTAACTTATATAATAAAATATTATTTTTACTACTAATATTCCACTTATTTATTTATCTTTATTTATTTTTACTTACTTAAACTAGTTAGACTAGTCATAACTAGTTAACTACTAGTTAACTAGGACTAGGCTAGTCAAGTTAATCTCTTGACTATGACTAGGCTAGTTACGTTAAGTCAATTTAAATAGATAACTTAAGTCTGAATAGTGACTTGACTAGTAACTAGCTGACTTATTTCCCAACCCTGGCTACTGTCGATCTAGCGATGCGTGTGGGGCTCATATAGAGCATCATTTTCAATATTTAAACAGAAAAGATAACGAACATGTCGAAATTTTCAACTTTGATATGGCCTCGAGCTATTTTGCAGTTAATGTTCAATTGTATCATCAAGCCTCGTCAAGGAAAAGCTGCCAAAACATATCACTGCCGTCGTCAATAGTGACTGACTGTCTAATAAGCCTATTCGTTACTGAAATGACAAAGTCCCGAAAGTTTTGATGAGATATTGAGCGAATTCACAGTAGTTTATTTCGCATTATAAGATTGGTAGTAATACCTTAACTCAGACCACCACCAAATCTACATGTATAAACCATGACAGGTCGCTTAGACCGTTAGTATCTCGGGGCATCTTAGACTCAGCACCCGTATTTGAAATGTGTCCTCCACCTCAGTATTGATTTGCTATCTTCGCCACAGCAAAGGACAAAAATGGCTCATGTATGGTTGATACGGGAGGGTTTCTTGCTCGTTTTAGGCGATAGGGTCATATCCAGACCGAGAGTTATGGGCAGCGCGATTCGAAAACAGCCAATAGATGACCATACCAACGATCGGAAAGAGGAATACCACGAGGCACCAAAGAACCTTGAGGCTGACAGGCCGGTTGGACTTCAGGACTTCGACTAGACACGGAGCAGGGTTAGGCACTATACTGACATCGGCAAGAGTGAAGAATACATACGGAAGACAATGATGTCCAATACCAGGACAATGAATCCAAGAATACCGCCACCAGTTCCATACTGCCAGGTGTTGCCGTGAACTGCTGTTCCCAACGCGGGGTCAGAAACAGGTGCTGCGACAGCCAGCAAGGCAAAGCAGATCTGGAGGAGGAATTGAGTGAGGACGGTGTTTCTCATTATGCTATCGGTTCCTCGTATTCAGGTGATAATTGATATGGTCTCAGGTTGTAGCACAAAATAGGTTCAAAGAGAGCAGGGTATTAACAATCAAAAGCTAAAACACATCTTCCGTTTTCGCCATGGACGATCAGCGGAATTAATACTAGCGGTGGTGTTGCTGGTGACGTCACGCTTCGAGTCGTCTGACCAAGACGAGCTTTGCGCTATGCCCAAAGAGCTCATCGAGATCCAGCCACACAGTCGACCGGTGATTAACAAGCACGCCAATTATGCCCAGCTGATACTGGTGTCACGTACATGCCATTATACATATGGGTGAACCTAAATACCGCTATTCGAACCAGTAAAAAGTATATCGAGGTATTAGAGCTGCATTGAATCGATCATTTTTCATCTTTTTTTCCCATTATAATATAAGAAAAGATTACAGACGTAGATAAACCAAAAAATGTAGAGAATTTCGAAATTACGAATAGAGTAGTATTATGATAACTATCATGAGATGATGAGTAGAGGGAAGGCGGCTTGAGGACTCCAGCGTATAGAGTCACGCCGGATATACTACTAGATCCCTACTATTTCCGCGTTATTTTCAAGATGTTCCCTGAGCTCTAAACCAATCTGGGAGCAATAATGGGCGGAAATCTACAGATCGCTTTTGATGAAGGCACCTTATTGCAACGTAGTCGCCTGGACACAACTATCTAACGCCTTTTGAATGACGCCGCCTGCGTCGTAGGCTACATTGCGGTAGGCCGGATCAAGGACTTTGATGAGAGCGATGATGAGCTGGTTGGCAAGTCCCAATTGCAATCCACTAGAGATCACATCAAGCCAATTGTCGCCTTCAAGGAGTGTGTTCAACAGGTCGCTATTGTGTAGTGAAGTGCTCTTCAGGTCACCCATTTTACCCTCGAGCAGCTGCAGGAGCTCCTGGTAATGCGGGGCGATCTCCGTTTTGAAGGCATCAGCAATGCTTTCCGACGCGTCTGAAGTGACTGTGACATTCAAAGACTGAGTCTGGAGCAGGACGTCGTTAATCGCAAGGTTAATAATGCCATTGCTGCTAAAGTTCTTGCAAATTTCGACCACATCCAGGTTGTTATCGCTTTTGTCGATGCTACTTTTTACGGTTGTGATAGATTTGTCAATAGCGTCCAAGCCTAAGAGAAGTTTCGTAATTTCCGGGGAGTTTGCCACATTTGTCGTAGAGACCACCGTGATCGATGTGATCGGTACAGAGACCACTGGCACAGACGCCGTCGATATAGAGTCCACCGGGATAGACGTGATCGATACTGGTACCACTGGCATAGATGTGGTTGCTGTAGAGTCCAGGGGGGTCGAAAGAACAGGCAGAACCAGAGCTGAGGCCAATGCAACCGAGGAGAAGGAGGCGACGAAGTTGGCAATACGCATTCTAGGAGATGTGATACTGATCAAAGTGGTACTTAACAAATATTGGATTGTGTTGATATTGATGTGATTAGGTAGGCAAATGAATTATTTTAGCTGTTAGGACAGGATGTTAAGGCAATGGTTTATTTTGAGATAATTTCAATCGTCCATGGAACTTTCCTCAATTTGTATACACCTTGATTCTGAGATCTAGCCTAAGTTCTAGACTTACCGTTTAAACTGTCTTTATCCTCTTGTCTTAGACACTGGCCCCAGTGTCTTTATTCCTTTTCTATCTCATTGAACTATTACGGTTTAAGGGTCCCGGTAAGCCCTAGCGTCCAAGTTTAGTAGGTTTAACCCTTCGCAAACATGCAGTGGTCATACCATAAAGACCGAGACCGTTTTCAGGCCTGATCTAGAGGTCGACAGGCTGCATGCATGCTGTACTAAAAGGCATAGTAGGTTGCGGGAGAAAAAGCCGCGCAGTAGGGGCACAAGATTGCGATTGGTTGAATTTGATGGGCAAAGCGATGATGTATTCTCTAGAACTAACTAACGATCTTGGCAGCAGCCGAAATTAGGTAAGGTAGGTGTCTGTGAGTTGATCGGAATTACCCGATTTGGTGATTATGTTCCACCAATCCTTCCACAGCGGGAATATGTGATTCACAGCTACTGTTCTTGAGGAACAGTCTAGAGCCAGTCTAACAAGCTAGCATACAAGCCCACAGGAGGCTTTTGGGATCGTCCCGAGGACATCACTCCGTCTATACCCTTGTTAGTAACTAGCTTGCGTCGTATACGAATCAGGCTTTTTATTTGCCGCACCACTTTCTAACTCTTTGTTGTTTTTTGCTTTGCCAATTGCTTCTTTTTGTTTCCTAGTTATGGGGGAGCTTGGCATGATAGAGTGTAGCTACTAGCATTAATGAGGTTAGTGAAGGGTTACTACAACGTATTGGTTACAATGGCTACATGTTCTATCCTTACTCTTGACACCTAAGAGCATGAAAACAGCCACATTTGTGAGCACATGCAAATGAGACCCTTTGTCTCTTTATTATGAAGAAATTTCCTTTTGTTTCTAGTTCTGTAGGTAAAATTAAGGATGTAGACCTAGCGCCACCAGTACAACATCGGTGTAGCATACTAAAAATGTTATAAACAGTGCTAGGTTTTCCTTTTTATATAATCTATGATCACCTGCTTGTATGTAGAAGCAGTTGTGTGCATTACATACTAAATTTTATTGCTTAACAATATATGTAGTACAAAGTAGGCTTGCTATAAGGGTAATTTATATAGTTTAAAGTGGCTTGTTATTTCTAGATAGTAATACGCTACGCCTTATAGCTAAATACTACCTTATTCCTAAATTATAAAGTAATGTTATACTAGAAGTAGTGTTATATAGTAATATTCTATATAAGGCTACCTTATTCCTTATGATATACTTACTTAGGTAGTAGTATATAATTAGCTACTAGCTAAGTAATTTAATAGTAAATAAAAAGATAAATTTAAACTTAGTATAAAAACGCTATTATTATATAATAACTACTTTTTATTATTTATACTTTTTACTTAGCTTAATATAATTAAGTTAATATACCTATATAATAAGTAAATAATTATAATAAGTAAACTACTATTTTTTGTTTTTTTACTTTCTCTATAAGTTAATTAAACTTAATATATAAAATTAATTAAAACTACTTATTACTATCTTCTTTATTACTATCTTAAACTACCTTATATATTTATATATCATATCTAGTCTTTTTATAATCACTATATTATTATATATATAGCTTACTATCTTTTATATAACCCTCTTTTTAAGATATCTCCTTACCTCTAGCTTTAATACCTTCTTCTTCTCTTTATAATGTCTTTACTTTAGCTATTATTATAATCTTAACTATTACCTAGATATTAGTAATATATATTAACGCTAATAATACCTAGAATAACTATAGCTAGTTTACTATAAAATCCCCTAGGGATTTTATAGTAATTTCTCTATAAATCTACTAGATCTATAGGTATATTACGTAGTAAATTAACTACATAATTATATTATAGTTTTCCTTTTTATATATAATTTAGAAACTAGTATTTACCCCTATTATTTATTCCTATCTATTAATATATAGAGTTAACTATATTTATTAGTTTCACTAGGGTGGTAATACAGTTAACTATACGTATTAATAGGCAAGTAATAAATAATAGGGGTAAATACTAGTTCTAAATTATACGTAAAGGAAAGGAAACTATTATAGGATTATGTAGTAAATCTACTGCGTAATATCCCTATAAATCCAGTAGATCTATAGCAAATTAGCTGTAGTTATTCCAGCCGATTAGCGTTAATCTATACTGCTAATATCTAGGCAATAGTTAATATTATAACACTAGTAACCTTCTAAAGTGCTATAAATTATCCTATTTTCTAGTTATCTATAAAAGGCCTAAAAACGTAATAAAAACAAAAGGTTAAAAAGTATTTAATACTTTTTATATATATAACCTGTTATATATATAAAACCTATCTATTTATCTATATCTCTAATTAACTACTATTAATTAACTGCTCTAGCGCTTTATTAGGTAATACCTTTATAAATCTATCTACTAGGTTATCCTCCCTTTATATATATTAGATCTTATAGATCTTATGTTACTTATATAACTAGTAAAGCGCTATAATATTAATTATAAGTTACTTCTCCTTAGTAGTACTAAGCTTTATAAGGCACTTATAGAGGGAGTATAAGTTAGTATAAAGGATTATTAGGATTTATAGTAACTTAAGGCAGTTAGTAATTATTATAAGTGTAGTGCTAATTATATAAGTAACGTTAGTACTAGTAACTATACTATAGACTTTAGAGGCTAGTATGCTATATATAACTTTTTTATACTTTATTAAGCTAAAGTAAATAATATTACTAGTAAGTGTAAATTTCTTATTATTAGTAGTAAGTTATATAACGTTACTTTTATTAGTAAGTATAATAATAAAGCTAAGTTATAAAGTAAAATTATAGTTATTTATAAATAAGCTGTTAATAAAAATAAAAAGCTTTATAGCTATAAGGTTAATTAGTTAAAAGAGCAGGCTGTAGTTAAGGTAACTTATTTACTACTTAATCTAGTAGTTAAGAGCCTTAATCTTCTCCTCTATAGGTTTTTAGTGTTATATAGCGACTAAATAGTTAAAGTAAGCCTTAGGTTAGTAGATTAACGTAATATACGCCCTATAGGCCTTTTACTAGATAAAGTCTTACTTAGCAGTAGGTAAATTTATATTAATAAGCTAGAGCTTCTTACCTTAATCTTTTTAGTAAAAATTTATTTTACTATTATAGCTAAGGGAAAGTATACTACTATTAAATATAATAAAATTATTAATAGTTAATAGTTACTTAGGCTTTATAGTAAAAGTTACCTTCTTAAGCTCCTTCTCCTTATAGGTAAAGAATTTATTATCTATAAGGCTAATTATATTATCTATTTATATACTAATAATACTAAAATCTTTATTATTAGGTAATAAAATAAGTAGGTAGGGGTTAAAGGTTAATAAATTTATCTAGAGATTCTCTTTATAGTAGTAGTTATATATAGCCTACTAGTAGGTATCTGCCTTAGTAATACTATAAAGCGGCATTATTACCTTTATAATAGAGTTACTAGGGTAAAGATAGTAAATTTATATAAGAAGTCTTATAAGAATTATATAGTTAAGTGGTGTTATAAATTAAGTATACGCCTAGGTAATATTATGTAACTAGAGGTAAAATCTATATTATAAAAGTAATAAGGTAAAGGTAAGGATTAGTTACTAGGCTATTTATTAGATTATAAGTAACTATATAAAAATTATCTCCTTACTATTATTAGTATAACCTTAGATAACTAATTATAATTTCTTATATAGTTACTTATTTTTTTTAACCTTACGTACTATACATAACTTAAAGATCTATATATTACTATACGTTTTCTTATTATAGGTAATAATATAAAATACACTATAGTTAATAAGGGCTTTTACCTCTACCTTATTAGATTCTTTAAAGGGCTTACCTAACATAGTAATAATGCCTTTTTTATATAGTTTAATAGTAAGTGTATAGTTAGCTTCCTCCTTTATAGTAAGGTATATATTAGAAACGTTAATAGTAAGGTGTATCTTATAAAAGAATATAGTAATTAGGTTCTTTTATAGGTAGCTGCAGCCTTATTATAGTAGCTACTTATTATTAATAATAATAGTATTACGTACTTCCTTTATAGATTTACTAGCTATTATAAGCTCTTCTTCTTACGCTTATATAGGATTATTACCTCCTCTAGCTATTATAGGTAGTAGCGCTAATTAAGCGTCTTCTTATACTATATAGTATAGCTTTACTATAGTAATATAAAAATTATATAGGCTATAAAGTAATTTAATAGTATAAGTAGTACTATTATTAGTAAGTAGGTAAAACAGGCCCTACTAGCTATCTTTCTTACGCTATATATAGATAAGTAATTAAAGGGGTAGCGCTATAGTATTTATTATATCTAGGCTATTATATATTACTAGTATATTATATACTTATCTCTTTATATAGATATACTACACTACGTTTATAGCCTTTTTTACTGCTTTAGTGCGCTATATAGTAGAAGAGGTAGGTAGTAAATTATTTATAATATAGGGGTATACCCTAAAAACAAGTAGAGTTAGTATAAGGCTATTAGGGCTAGTAGTATTATTAATAGCTTTAATAGCTAATTAAAGGGCGACTTTAGGCTTATAATTACTATCTATATAGATAATCTTATATATATAGTAAAGGGTAGTAAAGTATTACTTAACCTTACTAATAAATTAATAGGCCTTAATAGGCACTTTATTAACCTTAATAGATAACGTGCAGGCAGCGCGTTTAAATTTAGCTACATAAAAATTTAGGCTAGCGTTAGTAGTAATCTAATTAGGCGGCCTAAGATATACGTTA